GGGGCTCTGTCCTCTGCCGGATTCCCGGAAAGGTTTTGGCAGACAGCACAGGCTTGGGTTCCAGAGCCTTCCAGGCTGAAGTTTAGGGGAGGGACCCTAGACTGCTGGAGTACCTCACCTGGGCCTAGTGTCCCCAGGCCATCTGATTGCACCATCTGCACGCTTTGTAGCCAAAGGTGAAGGGAGGGGTGCCAACGTGGATCCAGGCTAGGGACCACTTTTCAACACAACACACACCCCATGCAGAAGGTCACTCAGCTGACACTCAACAAACACCCCAGGAGGGAGACAACCTGACTGTCACCTATTCCAACCTACAACCATGTCAGTTCCTGGTGCCTATGTTTGCTGGTGTAAGTGAAATGGTGACCTGGGTACACTGACTTCTCTAACTTCTGGTTCCCCACCAGACACTTCTCTTCACACGCTTCTAAGGGACTGACTTAACTGACCACGTGCCTAGACCCATTGCCCACTGAGACCTGATCCCCCAAACTCCCTACAGTGGTGGGCTAATTTTTAGGGAGGCTGAGGATGAAATCTAGGCTCTTTGAGCTAAATCTCTACCCCTGTTGGTTTTTATTGGACTGGGTGTTCACAGCCTAACGCCAGCACTGCCTCTTGCTTGCCCAGCTCCAGCCAAAGGAGTAGAGGGATCAGTAAGGAAGTGCCATACTGTGGCTCCTACATAGCAGGCAAATCACCCAGGAAACAACTGGCTACAAAAGCCACTCGCGAGAGTGTGCCCTCTACTGGACGGGTGAAGAAACCTCATCGTTACAGACCTGGCACTTCCGTGAAATCCACCCATCTTCTGACTGCTGGAACTCCCTTTCCAGCAATTGCTCGGGACTTCAAAAGAGATCTGTGTTTCCAGAGTGCAGCTACTGGTGCTTCGCAAGAAGCAAGTGAAACCTGTCTGCTTGGCCTTTTTGAAGATACCAACCTGTCCATGCCAACCGTGTAACAGTTGGGCAAAAAGACATCCAGGAAGCTAGCCTCACCCACGGAGAATGTGTCCCAGAGTCCAGGATGAGGGGGAAATGTTCCATTCTCAAAATTTTTTTTTCTTCTTCCTGTTACCGGTAGTTCTGAATGTTAGGGTTTTTTTTTTCTTCCCATGGGGTCAAAAGGCACCTGAGTATATGATTGTGAGTGGAAAATAAGGGACAGAAATCAGGTATTGGCAGTTTTTCCATTTTCACTTGTATAGGAAATTTTAGTATAAATACAAGATGTAAATAAAGCATTAATGCGGGCAAAGGGGTACAGTGAACACAGTTCAACAGTTCAACTTCATAACCATTATAAATAAACCTGTTAAAATTTTCTGGACAAAAAAGTTAAAATGACTGAGCCCTTTGTAGTGGCAGTGCACAGCTTTAACCCAAGCACTCTGGTCTACAGAGCGAGTTCCAGGACAGACAGGGCTGTACAGAGAAACCCTGTCTCAAAAAACCAACAAACAAACAGAAAACCTAAAATAAAAACAAAACCAAATGAATAAATAAAATCACTGTGTGTACATGTGTGCGTGCGTGCACAGGTACACGCGTGCGTGCGTGCACAGGTACATACGTGCATGCACAGGTACATACGTGAGTGCACAGGTACACGCGTGAGTGCACAGGTACACATGTGCGTGTACAAGGTACACGCGTGAGTGCACAGGTACACGCGTGAGTGCACAGGTACACGCGTGAGTGCACAGGTACACGCGTGCGTGTACAAGGTACACGTGTGTGTGCGTGCACAGGTACACACGTGAGTGCACAGGTACACGCGTGAGTGCACAGGTACACGCGTGAGTGCACAGGTACACGCGTGCGTGTACAAGGTACACGTGGGTGTGCGTGAACAAGGTACATGTGGCAGTCAAAGGACAGCTCTGTTGTCTGTTCTCTTTTCACTCCGTCAGAGCTGGTGGCAAGCGTCTTTGCCGCTGAGCCATCTCGCTGGCTCCAGTTAGTAACTCTTAATTGATCTCTTTATCAACAGCCTATATTTGATCTGTCACCACGTACCAGATTCTTCACTTTGCTCCTTATGTTTAAAACTGCTATTATTTGTTCCTGACTTTTTCCAGTTCTTTCTCTCCAGCCCTAGAGAGTCCACCTTTGGCCCAAATTGTCCTGCTTTCTGACCAGGAGTTCTCCTTGCTCCTACACACCCTCCTGGAATAATCGTTCCCAAACACCATTTACTGTGTATGCTATCAACTTCAGCCAAGCACTCTGGGAACACTGGGTACTATCCTGGGTGTTCCCTGAGCAGAGGCCCAGGTTCATTCATGCATTCCAGCCCACTGTACTGGGCACAGTCCCCACAGCGAGGGGACACTAGGCATTCTTAAGTGAACAAACCATTCATTTGATCCAACATTCCCCTCACCTCCTTATTCTCTCTCCCGAGTTGGTCCCTCTAGTCCCACAGAGCGTCGTGCCTTCCTGATGCTCATGCAGGCCCTGTTTTTAAACATTTATTTGTGTGTGTGTATGTATGTATGTATGTATGTATGTATGTATGTATATTTGGTGTGTGTATGTATGCATGTATGTATGTATATTTGGTGTGTGTATGTATGCATGCATGTATGTATATTTGGTGTATGTATGCATGCACGCACGCATCTATATTTATTTGTGTATGTATGCATGTATGTATGCATGTATGTATGCGTGTATGCATGTGTGTATGCATGCGTGTATGTATGTATATTTGGTGGGGGTGCAGGTGTGCCAGTGGGCAAATGTGGCAGTCACTGAACAACTTTCAAGAGTCATTTCTCTCCTTTTGCCATGTGGCTCCCAGGTCATCAGGTTTAGCAGCGAGCACCTTTGCCCACTGAATCTGTTTTTGCCCTATTTTTCATCTACTTCAGACTCTTCAGAGTTCGGAAGGGGAAGCTAACACCCAGGTAACCCTCAGAGAATTTGTGCTAAATTGCAAAGACACAGGGCAGTTGCTGTGGTACCTGCTCCTATGAGACAGAGCCACAGAGGACAGAAGACCCAAAGGAGGGGCTGTGGATGTACCTAAGTGCTTGCCACACACGTAGGGGGCCCTGGATCCCTCCATCCCCAACAAGGTGTGATATACACCCATAATCCCAGCATTTGGGAGGTAGAGACAGGCAGATCAGACACTTAAGGTTATCCCTGGCTAAATACAGAGTTTGAGGTCAGCCTGGGCTAGAGATCCTGTTTTAAAACAAATAAAAAAATTAAAAAGGGTCTGGTTAGCTCTGAGTCACCAGTTTGGCGGCCTGGCTTTACAACCACCTCCTGACCCACTTGGAAAGGCACCTTCCACAGGAAAGCCTCTAATAATACCAACCCTATTTTGAACCTTTTGAGCAGCCGTCAACATTTTCTAGGTTTTATTGCTTAATTATGTCCTGTGGTATCTTCACACCATTTCCCTGTAGACTATAAACTCCTTCATGACGGAGACACTCGGCCTTTCATGTCACTTAGTCTAAGAAGGAAACATGACGAGGGGATTCAGACCCATAGGAGTGGGTCCTATCCTGGCTCCACCACTCAGCTACTGGGCTAACACTGGTTCCAACACCTAGCTTAATGAACCGCTCAGACTCAGTTCCTACAACTGTCAAAGGAGCTAGAACTACAAGGGGCAAAGGTCACAAAGACCTGAGTGCTGGGAATGAGTTGATAAGTCGTGAGCACACAGGTTTGCCTTCCTTCCCTGAATGGCTGAGGCCTTCCATGAATTACAGAACTATCTTCCCTGATTAGCGCTTATTACAAGAGAAGAGAGGCACTGAATAATTGCAGAGATGGTTCAGCAGATAAAGGCGCTGCCAAGCCTGGAGACAAGGGTTCGATTCCTTCGCTCCCACGAGGTGGAAAGGGAGAACTGACTCCTACAAGTAGCTGCTCTCAGAGATCCTTTTGCATGTGGTGGCACACGAGCCCCACCCCCGCAATAAATGTAAAAGAAGAAAAATTACATCGATTCCAGAATCATATCCCAGATGCAAGGCCACTCCACCCGCATTCGTGACAACCTGTGAACAGGAGGCTTGGAAAGAGCAAGACAATCCCTAAGAATGGCGACAAGCATAAACGTTTGTTGAATCAAAACAAACGAACACAAGTTGTCGCTCATTCATTTTCTCCAACACCAAGCAAGTCAAAAAAAAAAAAAAAAGTCAGAAACGCCCCCCCCCCCCGCCGCGCCCCCAGCCCAGCCGCACCCTGTCCCGGAGCACCAGGCTGCCTGTAGTCCCTAAAGTCCGCCTGTCTCCAGCCCCGCCTCCGATTGCCTTGGAAACAGTGACGTTTAGGGGGTGTGGCCTCTCTCCATCCTCTCCAACGGCTTGAGCGGCGCCTTAGCGCAACCTGGGGGGCGGGGGGGGGGGGGGGGGGGAGGATGAGGTTATAGTTGCTGGGTCTTCCCCCGCCCCTTAGGCGGGAGATAACTACGCACGCCAGTCCGCGCCTAGGAGAGCGCGCGCCTCGCGATTGCTCTTGACGATCTCGCCCTGGATCTGAGAGTGCGGGCCGGGTCCCCGGGAACCTTTCCTTGCGATATAGCAAGGTGGAGGGGTGAAGGTGTGTAGGGAGTCTGGAAATAGCAGGTTTGGGTCCCCGAGAACCTCCCTTGGCGATCTAGCGGGAGTCTGGGAACTGGAGGCCTGTCCCCGGAAGCCCACTGCACCCTCCATCCTTGACGCAAGACGGGCAGCTCGGCTGGGCGCAGTCGTGTGCCTTCCGGGGCACCCCAGGCTCGCTGCGCGCCCTGGGCGCGGGCGGGAAGGGGTTAAACAAGGTGCCGGCGTGGGGCGCGGCGGGTGTGGAGGAGGGGAGCGGGGAGAAAGTGAGAGCGGGGGCGGGGGGGGGGGGACCGAAGCGAAAGAACATCCTGTGCCGCCACCGGATGCGAGGGGCGGGGGCGCGGGGGAGGCCGAGCGATGCGCTCCGCCCCGCGCTCCTCCTCCCGGGCGCTGGCCGCTCCCGCGCTTCACGCTGCGTCTCCTGGTCCCCACGCCTTCGCGGGTCATGAGCTGGCCAGAGGGGCCCCTCGGCTCGAGTTCCGCGGCCAGGGTAAGCGCGGGGAGTGTGGGATCTGCTGCGAGGCACGGGCGCCCCCCAGTCTTCTCCTCTGAGCACTGATGGGGAGGTGTCCCTTGCGCAGCGATAGGATCTGCACCTTCTCTGGCCAGTCCTGCTGGCTGCATTTTCTGAGCCAACACCGAAACGCAGATAGTGCATTTGAGGAACCCCACACTGCGGGGATTAGAACCCGAATCGATCGGACCGCAAAGGGCTTTTCAATGGGTGTAGCGAAGACTAAAAACCCCTTAGCTGATAAGGCTCCCGAGAGATAGGCCGCGGAAGTGAAGGAGGCTTACCGAGTAAAGGCCTTTGCCTTCAAGCTTGACGACCTGAGTTCGATTCCCAGATCCCATATGGTGAGAGACCTACCGATTTACGTAAATTGTTCTCTGACTTCCACATGTGTGCCTTAGTATGTGCATGCCCCGCTCCCCCCCGCCCCCCATAATTTAAAAATTGGGGGAGCCGAACCTGGTGACTTTTAACACAACAATCAAGAGGCAGAGACAGGAATACCTCTTGAGTTGAACTCCTGGACTACCTAGAGTCTGTCTCAAAAAACCAAAAGTAAGCCGGGCCTTTAATCCCAGCACTCAGGAGGCAGAGGCAGGTGGATCTCTGTGAGCGCGAGGCCAGCCTGGTCTACAGAACAAGTTCCAGAACAGCTAGGACTGTTACACAGAGAAACCCTGTCTCAAAAACAAAACAAAAAAAGTAAAATAAATAAGTAAATAAAAGTGTTGTGAATAACAGGTTTGCTCTACACCTTAGCCTCAAATTGCTAAGTACTCAAGGATGACTTTGAACTTCTTGACCCTCACCCCACCTCCTGAGAGTTTTGGGGTTACAGTTGTGCCCCCAGTCCGGTTTATACCAGCCCCCAAGAGAGCCTGGAGCCTAAGGACAGTGAAACACCCCCACCCACGCTTGGGTGAAAACGGTGAGGAAGTGGCTTTGGAGTTCCACAGGTGGACGTGGGCCTCGGCTCAGGGAATGTGCTTGTGCTTTATCACTAGTGGACACATCTAAGAGGCCTCCTAGGGGGCAGGTAGGCTTGCCACCTGCGCCTGAGCTGTGTGGCTTCTCATCGTGACCAGAGGCGATGTGTACTGAGCGGACAGGCTGTAGCTTGGTAGGGCCCTTGCCTGTACATGGCAAGCCCTGCGTTCAGTACATGCCAGAGGGGTATGGTGTTCCTCCTGTAAATCTAGCCTCTGGGGCAGACATGGGATCCCTCAGTTTGCTTGCAAAACTAGCCTTATCTGAATGCCGGGGGTTTGCCTGAGAGACCCTGTCTTAATGAGGAAGGTGGGAGAGAGGGTAGCAGCCAAGCTGGCACACCTGGGAAGGAGGGACTTCAAATGAGGACTTGCCTCCATCCGATTGGTCTGGGCCCATGTCTGTGGAGCACCTCCTTGATTGCTGATTGGCTAGAAAGTGCCAGGACTAAACAGGTGGGAGTGGGCTGCGTGAAAAGGTTAGTTCACCATGAGCCAAAGACCAAGCTAGAAAAAAACGTTCTGTGGTTTGTGCTTCGGTTCCTGCCTCGGTTTCCCTAAATGAAGGACTGTCATCCGGAAGTGGAAGCCAAATCGACCCCTTCCTCACCAAGCTGGGTTTGTCACAGTGTTTATCACCACAGAAAGCAAGCTAGAATCCAGGATGATTCTAGAAGTCAGCCTTGAGCCTCCACGTGTATACACACATGTGCACACACACGCCAACACATGTGGTACCATACATGGACACAGGTACCCCCACACACACACACATACTGGAAAATGGAATAAAAGAGAGGTGAGCATTGTGCATAGGCTGTCAAGTGTGCAGAATCAACTCGGTTGGGGGTCAGAAAAGGTGGGAAGGCTGAGTGAGAAGGGTGGAACACGGACCTCGTCTTAAGATCAGCCAGAGTGGCCTTTGAGTCTCAGGTGACAGTCCCCACCAGGTGGCAGGGATGACGGGTGAGGGTGATTCCACAGCAGCAGAGACTGTGCTCCCCTTCCTTGGTTCCTTGTTGCAGGAGACCCTGGAATTGCCTGCCTGAAGCCAGGCAGATCTGAGTGCCCCTGGTGGCTAGCAATTGAAGAGGGGACAGGAAGATAATGGCTGCAGGAGCAGTCCCTGTTCCCTGCACCTAGTGGGTGGTGCCTGCCAGGTCCTGTCCTTACAGCTACTCCCCCCCTAAACTTCTGTCTAGGCTCAGCTCTGGAGCCTTCTGTCCTGGCTCTTCCCAGCAGGTAGGCTCAGCCCTGCTCTAGCACCTCCATGCTCTTGGCCAGCTCAAAGCCCCTCACCTCCACACGCAACAGCAAAGGCTGTGAAGAGACCCTGGTGAGGAGAGAAGACACCTGGGCAAGCTGCCCTTTCTCCCTCCATGTCAGGAGGACACAGAGCCCCTCATTCCAAACAGTAAGGGCTATGCCTATAAGTCTCTAAGCTGTGACTACTAAGTGCAGGCAGCTAAGCTGGGTGCCCCCTTGAGACTTCCTCAGGGAGGCGTACTCCAGGGCTGCAATCGGAAGCTGGGCGGGACGATTCTTTCTAAGGTGTCCATCTGTCATTTTCAAGCCCGGGTGGGAAGAGGAAACCCTGTTTGAGAAACAACCTGCCACCCAGGCAGAACATCCATGCTGGAGATCAACAGATGGTCTTGGAAGTTGAGTTTCCCCAAACCCAAAGGCCCAAGCCCAGAAGTGGGCCTCTGCTGCCCTCTAGTGGAACAAAAGGTACTGGAACGCGCCACCCGCCGGCCACTCCAACTTGGCTCAAAGAAAAAGGAACTGGAGAAATTCATATGAATGAGATCAAAATACACAGCCCACACACGTGAAGATGTCATAGTGCAGCCCCTCAATTTAAACAATAAATATATATTCTAATAAAAAAAAACAGGAGCTGGAAAGATGGTTCAGTGGGTGGAGCACTTACCATACAAACACAAGGGCCTGAATTTGATCCCCAGTACCCATATAAAAAATTCAGGCACAGTAGTGTGTGCCTGTAATCTCAGCACTGGGGAGGTGGGGACGAGAGGATCCTTGGGGCTTGTTGAACACCTGGTCAAGTCAGGTCAATGAGCCCCAGGTTCAGGGAGAGTCCATCTGAGAACAATGACAGTAGCTAAGGTGCACACTGTTCTTGCAGAGGACCCAAGTTCAGTTCTCGGCACCCACATCTGACAGCTCAGAACCACCTACAACTCCAGCTGCAAGAAGATCTGGTGCCTCTTGCCCTTGAAGGCACCTGATTGACGGTCACAAACCCACACACAGATGTAAGCACATAATTGAAAACCAGTAATGGGGGCTGGAGAGATGGCTCAGTGGTTAAGACCATTGGTTGTTCTTGCAAAGGGCCTAGGTTCAGCCGCCAGCACCTACATGCTGGATCACAGTGCTCTCTAATTCCAGTGCCAGGTGACCGGATCTCCATGGGTGCACGTACATACATGAAAGCAAAACATTCAGATACATACAATCAATAAAATAGGATGGAGAGAAGCTAAAGAATATGCCTGGTATTAATCTCTGTCCAGCGTATATGCATGTGAATACACGGGCATTTATACCTGCATGTGCATACAGAAACATGTTCACGAATGCACACACACCTCCCACACACTCCTACAACCCAACAGGCTGGGCATGGTGGGGCACACCTGTAACCGAGCACTTGGGCGGTAGTGGCAGGAGGGTCAACCAAGGTCATCCTTAACAAAATAGTAAGAAGGAAGCCAGCCTGAGCTATGTGATATCGCATCTCAAAAAATTGAAAGCGAGGAGGTGGAGAGGCAGCTCAGGGGTAAGAGCACTTGCTGCTCTTCCAGAGGACCCGAGTTTAGTTGCCGGCACTCACAACTGGCCGCTCACAGCTGTAACTCCAGCTCCGGTAGATCCAGCACTTTCTTCTGGACTCCCTGGGTACCATATGCATGTGTGCACGGCACACATACACACACGCATAAAACACTGAAGCCAGGTGTGATGTCACACACCTCTAACTCCAGCAAGGAGAGGCAGAGCAGGTAGTCCTCTGAGTTCCAGGTCAGCCAGGGTTACACACTGAGACCCTGTCTACAAATAAATGATGGGCATATAAAAACAGGCAATGACAAGCCCATGGCCTTGCCTTGCCGGGAAGTGCAGCCTCTGAGCCCCACTCAGCCCCCCCCCCCCCCACCTTCTACCTCCAGAGTCCCTGGCTTCATCTCTGCAGCCTCCCAAAGCTGAATCCTCTGGTCTCTTACTTCCCTGAAGGCCACCCTTAACCCCATCAACTCCTGGGTTTCCTTTGTTGCCTAGGCTCCAATTCTAGTACCCTGGTTCTCGGCCCTGCCAGGGTTCTGGTTCCGGAATGTTCTCTGCAGGTACCTTGGGCCTAGCTCCCACCTAGACCACAGGGCAGCACTGAAGTCATGGGCAAGACCATTCCCCGGTGCCTGCAGCAACTGGACCTCCGCAAAAGCGTTGTGGGCCTAGCTACAGGCGCCGGGGCCATTTACCTGCTCTACAAGGCCATCAGGGCTGGCATAAAATGTCATCCGCCCCTCTGCTCCAACTCACCCATCTGCATCGCCCGTGAGTGTCTGGTCCCTGGGGAGAGGGCTCTACCCCAGGAGACACCTGCTCCTAAGGCCTCCCCTGGGGGAAGGCCCAAAGGTGACTCCTTCAAGCTGCTCTCTCCCTTCTTTCTCTCCTCAGCCTGCCTTAGTTTCCCTCCCCCTCTCCCGCACCTGAGGCAAGGCACTGCTATAGAAGATAGTTGGGGGGAGGGTCCCTGAATAGCAGAACTCATGGAGCTGGGCCCGAGGAATCACCCACTCTGGCTTCTTCCACCCCAGGTATTAGAAGTGGGATCAAGAGCTTTATCTCTTGCTCTCCCCCAGGACCTGGAGCCAGTGAAGAAAGGAAGAGCAGGGACTTTCTGCCCTAAGTTCCCCACTAGGTCATAGGGTACATGTTTTTTTTTATGTGTTACGGCAGTTTACCTGTGTAGATGTCTGTATACCACCTGTGTGCAATGCCCAGGGACTCCAGAAGAAGTATCCGATTGATGGTTGTGAGCCACCATGTGGGTGTTAGGAACCGAGCCCCAGTCCTCTGGAAGAGCAGCCAGTGTCCTTAACCCCTAAGCCATCTCTCCATAGGGTACTTTTGTGCCATCAGGGAAAGGGTGACTTCTTGGAGATGGTTGGTTGTCATCTGCCAGGTGTCCGGCGAGCCTGTCATGACTACACACCAGGAAGGTTGTGGTTGTGAACCAGTGAGCGAGCGTCAGGACAGAGGGCACAGGAGTCATGGTCTTTGCACAGAGCCCAGGCGGTGCCGCTAGTGCCTGAAGGGCTGGGCACAGCGAAGCCTTCACTTTAGAGAAGCCTTTGCCCTTGGCTCCCTCCTCCTCTCCCCCGCTTCCGAGCCCATCTCCTGAACTGTGGGCCTGGGGTGCTGTCTAGGCCTGGCCATCGAGAGAGAGCGCCACGGGAGGGACTCGGGAGAGATCCGAAGACTCCTCAACTCGCTGGAGTGCAGACAGGATGAGTATGCCAAGAGCATGATCCTACACAGCATCACCCGTTATGTGTATCTGCTGGAGGCTGAGGTGAGGAGAGGCGGGGTGGGGGCGTCCCGGGCGTCAGTCTGCCCCCCTGGCTCACAGCTCACCCCTAACCCCAGGCAGCATCCTCAGACCTGTCCCTCTGGCTGGTGGCGGCAGGGGGAGGTCTCAGAGACTTGGGAGACAGTGGCCCAGGACACCCGCTCCTCCTGTCTCTTCCGCCTCTCCTCACACGCTCTAGGCCTCGGGTTGTACGACCGACGACGTCAGCCTGGTGGCGGAGATGCTGGATGACAAGGACAACAGCGTCAAAATCCAAGCCCTGAATGCTCTTAAAGCTTTCTCTGGAATCAGGAAGTTCAGGCTCAAAATCCAGGTGAGCCTGTCCCCAAGGTTTGGGTCCTTTGATTTGCATAGGGTGAAAAGTCGGGTCCTGTAAGTTTGTTTGAATCTGAGTTTCTAACCCAGAAACAAGGCAGGCACACTTATCTGCACACATCTGAATGACACTGGACACCCGCCCCACAAAGAGCAGAAAGCTCCTCCTAGTCTTAGACACCCAGCGCGTAACACACAGGTGAGGCCTCTCATTTCCAGGCTAGACGGTGTCTGCCTCCTGACAGACTGGCTGTGCAGCTAGAGGTACCACACCTTCCCGCTTAGGCTGGAGGAGGAGCTGAAGGGAAGTAGAAGTCACAGCTCCACACCAGCCAGACAGAAGAGAGGAGAAATAGGCCAAGGTCAGGAGAAAAGATGGGAGTTGTTTTCCGCAGGCCAAACCCTATTGCTCAGTCTCTCTCTCGGGCACTCCCCTGTGTGGGAATGGCAGCCCAGTGGTCACCAGCTCTTCCACCTCCCTCTGTGGCGCTTGGAGTGGGGCTGAAGATTCCTGTTCCCTAATCCTGGTTTAGGGCTCACCACAGGGATGTTTAAAAAAGCAAACAGCAACTGGGGACCCAGCTAGCTCAGCTGGGGGAGTCCTGGCCTCAGGACCCCAGAAGCCAGCAAAGGTGGAGGTGGTTGGAGAATTGGGAGGTGAAGTCCATTCCAGGGTCTAGGGTCTGATGACTCAGAAAAACAAAACAAAACAACAACAACAAAAAGTAAATTCTAAAATATAAGGTCTTTGACCCCAAATTGCTCTCTAGCAAAATGTCTCTTCCTCACCAGTTAAAAATGGCTAAGGGCTGGGAGGGTAAACGTGCTGACCTGAGTTCGAAAACTGACCCCCAAAAGCCGTCCTCTGAGCCCACGTGCAAGCCAGGGCACACAAGTCTTACACACACACAATAATCACATATTCTTTAAGAAGTAAAAGGTTAAATATTTAATTCACAATCACATATTGGCTGTTTGCAAGACAGGGTTTCTCTGGGTAGTCCTGGCTGTCCTGGAACTCGCTCTGTAGACCAGGCTGGCCTCGAACTCACAGAGATCCGCCTGCCTCTTCCTCCAAGTGCTGGGATTAAAGGCGTGCGCCACCACCGCCCTGCTGACAACATCTTTTGTGTGTGTGAGGCAGAAAGAATAACAATTCAAACAAAACCCAGGGCAAGATGGCTCAGTAGGTAAGGGCACTTGCGTCTCAGTCTGACCACCTAAATTTTATTCCCAGGCCCCGCACGGTAGAAGGTGAGAACCAGCTCCCACAAGCTGTCCTCTGACCTCCACACGCTCACGCATGCAGCCCCTTCCCCAAATATGGCCAGCCCCAAGAGAAGAGGGAGACACAGTCCCCTGAAGCTAGACCTCAGGCAGCTGTGAGTCACCTCTTTGCAAACAGAGCACTCTGGTGAACTTGAGTCCTCTGTGAGAATGGCAAGGGCTCTTAACCTCTGAGCTACCTCTTCAGCCCCTATACTTCATATTCTAACTATAGAATTCCTCCTCTGCCCCCAAGATTCAGCTATCCCCAATGCATAATGAATTTATTTAATCCATCTCTTAAACTCTCCCAAGTCTGAACAGTTCCAATAGTGTTTGTAGGTACACTCTGCTCTGAGACTCGGCGTAGACCCTTAACTGTGAATGCCTGTAAAATCAAAAAGATGTTCCCAACATATAACCCCAGAGTGAACATTCCCATCCCAAAAGGGAGGAAGGGATAGTAGTGGATAAAGGATGGATAGGAAAAAGCCCAGCAGGGTGGGCATTACATCCTGCCGCTCCGTGTTTAGTAGCTAGGGCCGTGGTGACACGGAGTACCATAGGTGCTTACGTAACCCCACCCCTAAGGTCTTGCATTTGCTGCTCTCTCTTGGGCTGGCTCCAGTCCGTCCATACCCACAGCTTTCCTCCTCAGCAGACAGCCCGCATTCTTGGCATCCTGTATCGTGGAGTCTGCATTGCAGCCTTGTCTTCCCCCTCACAGCCGTGTGTGCACAACCCTCTTAGGGGCTTCCGGAAGGGACCACAACTCTATAAACCCTCTGCCTGGCTTCTTGGGCTTTGGGCTTCTCTGTTTTCTGGAATCCTGGTGGAAGCATCTGTGACATCTTTGTACTGTGAATGCCTGCAAAGTCAGCCCACAGTTATGACGCCAAGTCCTGCTGCCAGCCTGGGCAGTGAGTGGCTAAGGCCACCTTGTACTGCAGCCACAGTGGCCTTTTCTAGGTGGCCCTTTGTGAACAGAGCACTCTGGTGGCATTCTAGGAAGGTCTTACTAGTGAATCTCCAGTTTCGTACCCTGGAGTGGGGTCTCACCTCATGGTCCAGAAGTTCGCCCTTTCTCTAATGGTGTCAATCTCTTTAACAAGTACGGTCATTTTCTCTGCACTTTAAAATGTGCTCCTCTTATGTGTGCACAAATTGTGTGCGTTCAGATCCCTCTGCTCTGCTCTTTGCTCCCAGTTTTCACCGTGAGACTGGCTAACAGTAGTTCGCAGTCACCTGCCACCATAACGGCACCGCAGCCTGAATGTTGTGCTGTCTTTGAAATCCCTCCACCAAACCAATAGGCCATTGCTTTTCAAATTCAACCTCATTCAAAATTTCAAGACCCAGGAAAAATCTAGACAAATTCTTTACCAAATGTGGTTGTCCTGTGGTCCAGTTCTCAACCCAGTCCTTGTTCTCCACCTGAATCCTCGCAGACAGAGTCTGTGCTGTTTGGCGTCTATCGGCATTCATCATCCGCCAAGCTCCACTTCCAGGGTTCTAGGGAGTTCCTAGCCTGTACCTCCAATCTTCTCCAAATTCCTCCTGCAAACAAGTTCCAGGGGCCTGAGAGCCACACCTTCTGGCTGTTAGCAACAGCCCCACTCCTGGTACCAATTTCCTGCACAGAGTTAACTTTGCAGCATTGCCACCCAAGGGCGACGGAAACAACAAAGGGAGGAAATGATTAACTTGGCTCATGGTGTCAGCTCATCACGGGCGGGGGGTGGGGGGTGCAGGGGAGGCGCGACAGCAGCTTGGCCCTTGGTGGTGGGAGCCTGTGATATGGGGGTATGTGTCATAGAATACCAGGAAGCAGAGAAAGACACAGGAACCAGAAGCAAGATGGACCCTTCAAAGACCCGCCTCTTGTGACCCACTTCTACCAGCGAGGCCCCACCTTCTAAGGATTCCACAGCCTCCTAAAATGGAGCTGCCAACTGGGAACAAGGATTCAAAACACATGCCGGGGAGGGGGACATTTTGGTTTCAAACCATACATATGCGGTCTATAATCTTGTGTGGTTTGCTTTCATACACACCCCAAAACATTGAAAAGACTAAGATTTATCCTCCCCTGGACGTTTTATTTCCTTCTTCAGATAGTGACCAATATTCAGTGGTCTGTTTTGTGGCCACCTTACTGTTTGCCCGCGGTTGGACATTTGAGCTAATTCCTTCACCTCCACATGCCACGAGCATGCTGCGCACACCCTCCATGCCCTGGAGCACTGCCGTAGATCAGCCCGCAGGAGAGAGGAGAGGCAGGGCTTGGTCCAAGGTGGTGTCCAGCGTTTCCACAGCGTTACCCCAGGATACAGTCCCAGCCCCATCAGGCCTGCCTGAGCGGTCCTGTTGGCTCACCCTTCGTCAAGATTTGCATATTCCAAACTTTAACATTTCCGTCCTGGATTAGCTTTTATTATCAACTTGATAGAACCTCAGTTGAAAAGTTACGTCCCCCAGACTGGCCCGTGGGCAATTCTGTGAGACTGTCCTGACTGAGGATTGGTGTGCGGGCCCAAGCCACTGTGTGTGACACCATCATAGGCAGGTGCGCCTGGGCTCTAGAAGAAATTTAGCTACACATGAACCAGTGAGCTAGCTAGGACACACCATTCCTCTGAACATTTATTTTAAATGTATGAGTATTTGTCCCCAGAGATCTATGGGTGCTGTATCCATGCCTGGTGACTCAGACCAGAAGAGGAGCCAGATCCTGGCATTGGAGTTATGGATGGTTGTGAGCCACCGTGTAGGTGCTAGGAACCAAACCTGGGTCCTCTGCAGGAGCGGCCAGGGCTCTTAGCTGCTGAGCCGTCTCCCTGGCCCCTCGTAGTCGTCGTTGTCGTAGTAGTAGTAGTAGTAGTAGTAGTCTTGTCTCCGGGCTGATAACCTTCCCTCCCCCACATTCTTTCAGCCATGGTGTTGGTCACACGGAAAAGGCAAACTAGAATTGTTTCTTACATGAAACAAGCTTTCGAAACGAAAGCTCGGGCTGAGACATGATGCATTTCCGCAACCCTAGTGCTCAGGAGGTCTAAGGTCAGAGGGTTGTGAGTTTGGGGCCAGCCTGGGGCTCTCGAGTTGAGAGTATTTTTAAAACAGTAACGTTTTCTTGAGGTCTTCACTTGGTGGTGCTCCCCCACCCACTCACAGAGCACAGCACCTTAGCTTCCTCTGATGCCTGAAAGCTCTGGTCCTCCCAGGCCACCTCAAGCTGCTTCCATGAGAGAGCCTGTGGCTCCACCTTGTGGAGTTTAGTTCCCACGGGGAGCTGCAGCCCTGCGTGTTGCATGCCACCCTGCGGAGTTCACTTCCTGTGTTGCATGCTATGCTGCAGAGTTCAGTTCCCATGGGGAGCTGCAGCCCTGTGTGTTGCATGCGCCTGTATTGGGAAGGCAGAACCCTTTCTATTTAGAAGGACTTTCCAGGTCCCTGCAGTCTGGGACGGGATGGAGGGTGGGGGTTCCCCTGCTTCCTCATGGCCAGCTATCACCAGATATCCTACCTAGGTCTGCTGGAGGGCCTCTATCCTACATTTTCAATCAGACCATGGTTTGCTCTTTTTTGTTGGTTTTTTGAGACAGGGTTTCTCTGCAGCTTTGGAGCCTGTCCTGGAACTAGCTCTTGTAGACCAGGCTGGCCTCGAACTCACAGAGATCCGCCTGCCTCTGCCTCCAGCGTGTGTCACCACCGCCCGGCTGTGCTCTTAGAAACTCTGAGCAGGAATGTGACATTGGCTGTGGGCCGTGCCTCCTTGCCCTAACCCCAGCCATTTAAAAGGAAGTTCCAGGCCTGTTCCTGCACCTTGCTCTTCCTTCTTTCTGAGGCCCTGCCCCAGACTTTCACCTGCCATCCACTCCCAGAAGGCAGTGGGGCAGGCAGGGAATGCCTGCTTTCATAGGGACTTTGCCTCGTTGCTGAAAGGCCAGCTTGGGCTTGTGGTGTTCGATATCTTAACCCTCACCACTCAAAATCCCTCTAGCCGCTTGTCTGTTGACCCTGACTCGGGGACACTGAATGGGGCAACCCTGGTCCTTGCGGGATACACATCCTAACGGGGTGAGTCAGGGGACACAGTCAGGCGCACGGTGCCTCTGATGTGAGGCTTGAGGAGAAAATCAAGAAGTGGGAAGCGGCTTTATTCCCAGTACCCGGAGGGGCAGAGGCAGACGGATCTGTAGGCAGGACCAGCCTGGTCTACAGAGCGAGTTCCAGGACAGCCAGGGTTACACCGTGAGATTCCGTCTCAAGTGAGAAAAAGGGGAGTGGGTGAGGAAGGTCACGTGGGGGTGAGGTGCAGTTTTGAAGGAAGTGATCTTTTGTTGCCTCTATGCTGAAGCCTTTGTGACATCAAGCACATGCTCTTTAAAAGAAAAAGATACAGTGTGTGGATGTGGCCCTGTGGGCAGAGTGCAGGCCTAGCCTGGGCTCCATCCAGATCATAACTAGGTGCCGTTCTTGTGCTGCGACCCCAGCACTCAGGAGGTAGGACAAGGAGGTCAGGAGTTCAAGGTCACCCTCAGCTACAGAGCATATTTGAGGCCAGCCTGGGCTACAAGAGACCCCGTTTTAAAACACAAATAAAAACAACAAACCGCATGTTTGATGACAGATGCATCAAGATTTCAAACACAGGGTTGATGAGGGAGTGCGGTGGGTATCTGCCGAACCTGGCCACCTGAGAGAGCCAGTTCCCACAGGCTCTCCTCTGACCTCCACTTATGCGCCTCCCACCCAACCCTGTACGCCACCTCACTACCACCCACCCACAATCATAATCATAACCTTCAAAATTAAAAGCATAGCTAAAAATAAAAGTTAACTGGTGGGTTGGATAGATGGGTCAGAGGTTAAGAGCACTGGCTGCTCTTCCAGAGGACCTGAGTTCAACCCTCAGCATGGTATGGCTCACAGCCACCTATAACTGTAGTCCCATGGGATCTGATGCCCTCTTCCAGTATGCATTCATGAAGATGATACACTCATATACATAAATACATAAATCTTAAAATTAGTTGATAACACCAAATGCTACAAAAACATAGCAAAACTAGGTGTCACCCACATTGCTGGTATGAATATAAAATGGGAGAGCAGTCATTCTGGAAATTAGCTTAGTAATTTTTTTTTAATTTTCTTTTTGTTTTATTTTCCTGAGACAGGGTTTCTATGTGTGTCCCTGGTTGTCCCAGAACTAGTTCTATAGACCAGGCTGGTCTCAAACTCATAAAGATCTGCCTGCCTCTGCCTCCCAAGTGCTGGGATTAAAGGCGTGCACCATCACCGCCCGGCCAATTTAGTAGTCTCTTAAAACACTAAACACACACCTATCAACTGGTAGTTGCACTGCTCCTAGGTTTTTATCCCAGAGAAATGAAAACTTATAGCTCATAGAAATGGTGCATCAGCTGGCTGTGGTGGAGCACACTTGCAGGATTTGCGGAAGGAGGTGGAGGCAAGAGGATCACAAGTTCTAGGCCAACCTGGGCTACACAATTTCTGTTGGGCAGTGATGGTGCACGACTCTAATCCCAGCACTTGGGAGGCAGAGGCAGAGGCAGGCGCATCTCTGTGAGTTCAAGACCATCCTGGTCTAAAAAGCGAGTTCCAGGACAGCTAGGACGGTTACATAGGCAAACCCTGTCTTGAAAAATAAAAAAGAAAGAATAAGAAAAAAGAAAAGGTGCACCATTACACATAGCAGCCTTATTTCAAATTGGCTCAAACTAAAAGCTACCAAAACATCTTTCAGGTTTTTTGAATCATCTTGGTTAAATTGTGGTATAATTTGAAGATGGAAGGGGAGGAAAAAGGGGATGGGGTGTGTGGCTAGGGAGGACCTTCCGAGGTGACATTTCAGCAAAGCATGGCAGGATGTGGGAAAGCCTTGCAGGATGAGGGAACAGCCTGTGCCACTAGCTGGTATGTTCAAGGAACACCTCAGGGCCCTTTGTGTGAGCCCCTCGCTGCTAACAAAGACAGGAAGGGAGGGCTGACAATGGGGAGACTGGAGCAGAGCCAGTGGGATGGTGACCGAGCATCTCTAAGGATTTCAGCTTTTTACCTAGTGAGTGGCCGGGGCAGGGGAGAGAGGAGCAGCAGATCTAAGTCTTCAGGTGTTCTGAACCAAGATGCAGGGGGCAGGATGGAAGGTGGGGGACAGGACACCATTGCAGAAATCTGGGTCAGAGATGGGGGCTTGGAAGAAGGTGGTAGAAGTGGGGATGGATAAGAAGCAGTTTGGTTTTACATAAGACTTTTTTTTTTAATATACAAACTTTTTTTTTTTTAATTGTGTGCATGTGTGAATCTGGGCATGCACATGCCAGGGCACAGCTGTGGAGGTCAAAGGTCACCCTGCAGAGGTCGGTTCTCTCCTTCCACCCCATGGAACGTGGAGATCAGATTCAGTTTGTCAGGCTTGGTAGCAAGCACCTTTGCCTGCTGAGCCAACTCACTGGCCCTTTCGCTGGATTTTTAGAAATGATTGTTAGTGTGTGCGTGCGTGCGTGTGTGTGTGTGCACAAGTGCCACAGTGTATGTGTGGAGGTCGGACGACAGCTTTGTGGAATTGGTTCTCCTCTTTCCGCCTTACATGCATTTCAGAGTTTGAACTCAGGTCTGACACGCTTGTACCACAAGTACTTTACCCACTTCTCTCTAACCCCTTTTGCTGGGTTTGAAGATAAAACCAAAAAGATTTCTGAGGGATGGGAAAGGGAGTGAGAGGGGAGGGAGGGGAGGGATAGGGAGGGGAGAAAGGAAGAGAGGGAGAGAGCAGAGAGAGAAAGAATTGGAGGATGCTGCAAGTTGGGGCTGGGAGGGAATGTGAGACCGGTAGCCAGGACCAAGGAAGCAGGTTTGGGGTAGGGAGAAAGTGGGGTTAACGGGTGGGGTGGGTTGGTGATCTTACCAAAGGGGTGAAGCAGAGAAGAGAATGTTGGGCAAAAGGCTTAGGAAGACTGAGAGGGAGACTAGCAAGGGGAAAAATCCACGTGAGGTGGGCCTGGCTGACCAAGGTGTGCGGTGCTTCCCGTTCAAGGTAGGGAGCATTGTCTACTGGGCCCCGGGTGGGCCAGTGAAGGGTGACATGGAGCACGGTGTGTCAGGGAGGTCGCCATATGAAAGCAGACCCTTCTCTCCAACCCCAGGAACATTCCATCAAGGTTCTGGAGCTGATCTCGACTATCTGGGACACGGAGCTGCATGTAGCTGGCCTTCGCCTCCTCAACAACCTCCCGCTCCCTGACTTCGTGCACCCACAGCTGCGGCGGGTGATGCCCGCCCTGATGGAGATCATGCAGTCGGACTGTGTCCTGGCACAGGTGCCTGCCCATCAGGGCCGCGGAGCAGTGCCTAGAGGGAAGAGCAGAGGTTCAAGCCTCCCCTGCTGAGGCCCAGACCCACCGGCCCTCTCCTGCTCTTCCTTATTCAGGTACAAGCTGTCCGCCTGCTGAGTTACCTGGCACAGAAGAATGACCTTCTCTATGACATTCTCAACTGTCAGGTGAAAAAAAGATGGAGAGGGGCTGATGGGATGCCGATGTGTGCGTTGGGAGGATTGTGTTCACTGGGTAGATTTTTTTAAATTATTTTTTAATGTGCATGGGTGTTTGCATGTGTGTCTGTGCATCACTTGTGTGCAGTGCCTGCAGAGGCCAACAGAGGGCATCAGCACTCCTGGAACTGGAGCTACGGAGTTGTGAGCCACCCAAGTGTGGGTGCTGAGAATCCAATAGCAGTCCTCTGCAAGGGAAGTCAGAGCTCTTAATGGCCAAGCCCCTCTCTCCAGCTTCATACACTGAGTCTTAAAATTAATCTCAGGAAACCACTCAAGTGTGGATTTTAGACAGGCCGGAGCTCACGGTTCTCTCCCGCCCCCCAACACAGGTGCACCCCAACTTCCTGAACCTCTTCCAGTCCTCACAGCCAGGGAGTCTGCTGTTCGAGGTGCTGGTGTTTGCTGAGCGGCTGAGTGAGGGCCAGAACTCAGGCCACTACCGAGCAGTGAAGTGGCATTACAACGAGCAGTCCCTGCACGAAGCCCTCTTTGGGGATGAGTCCAGACTGGCCGACCGACTGCTCTCCCTGGTCATCCACCCCGAGGAGGAAGTCCAGATCCAGGCCTGCAAAGTCATAGTCAGCTTGCAGTGTCCCCAGGACTTGGGATCCCGACCCTCAGCCTGCCGTCCCAGCCATTCCTACTTTAAAAACGGGGAGTAACGTTAAGGAGAACCAATAAATGCATACGGGGGGGAAGGAGAGGCTCCTAGAAGCAAGCGTCTGTCCGTGGCCTCCCAGGGTCATCAGGACCTCCGCCTAGGCCATGGCACAGCAAGGGCGAGTCTCCCAAAGGCACCCCACTTTTGTGTTTGGGAGACTGAAACCCTCCTTCTGTTGCTGCTCTTCAAATCTGTTTTTCTTTTTCTGTTTTGTGTGTGTGTGTGTTTGGTGTGTGTGTGGTGGGGGTGTGTGTGTCCAGGCATGTGAGCACATGTGCATGTTTGTGTACATGTGTACATGCTTGTGCAGGTGGAGGCTCGACCTCCTCCACCTTAGTCACCGAGGTGGGGTGTCTCAGTCAAGCCCACTCACAGCCAGTTCATTGGGGGATCCCTCTCCCTCCGTCTCTGCCTTCAAGGCAGCTGCTCTGCCCACTGGCATTTGCTTGGGTTCTGAGGACTCTGGACTCCAGTTCTCACTTTGACTCCCCAAGTCATCTCCCAGACGCCTTTTAAAACCTGAATGTGAAGCCCATCCTTTCCCGGGGAGACGTAGGTGCTGCGATCTGTGTGTGCATGTGTCTCTGTGTGTAAGTGTGTGTGTGTGTGTGTGTGTGTGTGTGTGTTACTGGAACTACAGTGAGAGGTGGTTGTGAACAATCATTCAGGTGCTGGAAACCCGGGTCCTCTGCAAGAGCATCAAGTACTCCTAACCACTGAGCCATCCCTCCAGTCCTCCAGCGAGGGTTTAAGAATCTCCCCTGAGTCCCTCCTATTGCCAATGGTGTGGTCTTTTAGGGTGTGGGCTGTTGTGGGAGGTGCCTGTGTGGGAGCTGTGGGATCCTGTCCTCTTTCTGACCTTCTGTCTGGTGCTAGGTCTGTTGTCACAGGAGCTCCTTCTGTGACACGCCACCATCCACCCCAGGCCTTACAGAGGCTGCATCCGTGGGGCTCGCCCATAAACCCTTCAGAATGATGGGTTTAAACCAGGCGTGGGGCACACGGCTTTAATCCCAGCCCTCGGAAGCAGAGGCAGGCTGGTATACACATCTCAAACTGCACGTAGTCTATCGGCCCGTTCCTCTAGAGAACCCTGATACAACACCTCCCGTCAAGGCACTTGTACTTTACATTTCTATTACATGTGTGTTTGTATGTGTGCGTGCATGCCATGCCACAGTACATGTATATCAGAGGACAACTGCTAGGGAGAGTTAGCTCTCTCCTTCCACCGTGTGGATCCCAGGGTTGAACTCAGGTGGTCAGGCATGGCAACACGTGCCTTTACCTGCTGAACCGTCATGCCGGCCCGGGCTCTTTCTTACACCACATGCCCCTTCAAGTCCTGGCCAGAGGAGGAACCACAGCTTCTCAGGGACTCCCAGACCCTGGTGTATTCTCGAGTATTAACTAACTGTGTTCCCCACCCCACTGAGTTTCCACTGGAAATACGGCTGTGCACATTCCAGTGGCCACAAAGGGGGCATGGAGGAAGACCTGAAAATGCTTGGTGACCACATCGATGGACAGAGAATGACAGACCGACTAGATACGGTTGACAACCCTGGATTGCGAGTGCTGGGTTCGAATCCTAGCTCTGTCATCTGTTGGCTGCCTGACCTGCGGTGGAGCAGGGCCCTGTTTCGCTTCAGTCCCCTTGTCTATAAAACAAATAGGAAAATGGCACTTATGGGCCTGATGGGACTGGGAGGCCATCGGAGGAGCTGAGCCGTGATGTCATCATGGAGAAGACATGGATTGTCCCTTCTCAGGGGGACAGCCCCTGGGTAGACTGCCTAAAGACATAAAAACAAAAATCAACAGCTTATGTTGGGGTTAAGCCCCATCAAACCTCCCAGGATTCAGAAGGATCGCTATAGCAGCCAAAACCCTGACTAGTGAGGTCTGGGGGTAAACAAATTAGCTCACCTAAGTCTTTTCGTCAGGTCCCATTCATTCTTTCTATGCTCTCTCTAAAGGTCTCTTGATGCTCCCCGTTCGATGGTCTCTTTTGGTGCTGGCTCACTGGTTTTCCCATCCCGCCAGGTTTCCAGTTCATATGCCCACAGGCACGTAGTTAACAATTTTCGGGTCAACAACAATGCTACCGAGCATGCATCTCTTAGGGCTAGCAGGAAGGATAAAAAACTGACATGGTGGGCACAGTGTGTCTCAGAAGGGGCGTGGCTGTGAAGCTCCCTGGCAGATACTGGGAGGGTTAGGATGGAGCTTGTCCCCTGGCTGAGCATCCTGGTGCTGTATCTGCTGGCACCCAGGTGAGAAGGACTCTGGGGTTGGTTTAGTAACCCAAGGTTTGTTCCTGCATATTTTAGGGGTAAAGGTGCAAACAGCTAATTTCCTAGACTAAGACCTTGTGTCAAATGAAAGATGAAGGTAAGCACAGAATATTAATAGCTTGTGAGGGTAGAGCAAAAGCCAGCGGGTTACACCTTCCTGAGTCTGCTGCTAGAGAATTCAGGGTCACCCGAACCTGTTGATCAGTAAGAGCAGACCTGCTGGCTCTCTGCTCAGTGCCTCCTGCTCAGGGCTCCTTTCCTGTCAATAAGGACAGTTGTGGGGGACCAGCTTTATGTAGATTTGACTATAAGATCAAAGGTTTAGCTGAATAAGTGCTTTCATACCAGGGCCCCACAGTGTGGATGAGGTTATCTAGCTGCCCATACAGGAAGAAGTTATCTATCTCAACGAATGATTTATATGCTGCTGGGATATTTGGGGTGAATCCCATGATGGAGAAGGGCCATGACTCCCTAAGATTGCTACAGAGTGGACAGTGACTCCAAAAGACAGGCGTTCCCGAAGCTCCGCAACCGGGTTCCTGGTCGGATGGACCGCACCCCCGTGAGTTTCTCTAGGGACCTGTCGACACTGACAAGGCTGTGACTCACAGCAAATAATTATTTGTTATCTTGGGAACATGGGAACGCTGGGGTTGATTTGTCTGGTTCCATCAAGCTGTGGTTGGTTCAGCCTTGGCCAGGGCTCTCTCTAGTCAGCCGAGGGCTCAGTAAGGACTGTCCCCTTCCAAAAGGCGGCTCCCTTGTGTGGCCAGCTGATGCCAGGTCCTCACTCTCTCTGCAGGATGTTGGAGAGTCTTCAGGTCATAGCATCTGGCTTCCCCAGAGCAAGCGTAAAAAAATATGAATACTGTGTATTCTAAAGAAAAACACAAAAACGTGCCTGGGGCCTGCGAGACGGGCTAAAGGGGGTAAAGGTGCTTGCAGCCAAGCTTGATGTGGATCCTCGGCAGCCACACGGCAGAAGGCGAGCATGGACTCCTGCGAGCTGTCCTCTGACCTCACGTGCGTGGCGGTAGGAAGGTGCCACTCCGTACGCCGTACACAGTTAATGTGAATTGTTTTGTGCACATACAACAGCTGTTTTTGTTTTTGTTTAAGATTTATTTATTTATTGTGTATACCGTGTTCTACCTGCATGCATTCCTGCAGGCCAGAAGAGGGCACCAGATCTCATTACAGATGGTTGTGAGCCACCGTGTGGTTGCTGGGGATTGAACTCAGGACCTCTGGCAGTGCTCTTAACCCCTGAGCCATCTCTCCAGCCCTAAATGTAATTTTTTTAAAGGAAAAAAAATGTATCTTAATTATTTCAGAGTGAGTTTCCATCTTGAGGATTTCAGCATGTACCGTGTGCGGCATAAAACCATGAGTCAGCAGAAATGAAGAGTCTGAGCGTTTGACAGTTTGAGGTCTTAAGGATGGAACGTCTCTCAGTAACTGTTCAAAAAGGAACACGTGACTCCAGAGGTTTCGTACATGTGTTAAGAATTGAAATGTCTGTGTGCTGGTCCACAACCAATAAAATCTCAACGGAAACATACAGAGAAAACAAAACCCCATCATGGAAGAGCTTGTAATCAAAGAACTGGGGAGACACAGACAGCGGGGGAAGGGAGGGTCTTGGGGCTCACTAGCCAGCCAGGCTCACATGTAAGTTCCAAACAAACAAGGAAGAGACCCAATCGCAAAACATTTTCTTTCAACTTTTTAAAAAGTGCACAAGCCCTTGAGGACCCCCCGAGGCTGTCCCCTGGCTTCCACAGGCATGAACACACATTTCTCTCTCTCACACACAAATGGAATAGTAACGTCAAGATGGGAGAGAAAGGCCATGGGCGGCCCGGAAAGTCACATGGACACTCTGCAGGTGCTGGGGTGCTAAGAGGATGATGAGGGGACCCCAAAGCAGTGCCACTGCAAAGTTTTCACCCAGCATGGCGAGTGGCTTCTTCAGAGCCACAGAAGTAACCCCACTCAGTTCTGCCCCAACCAATATGCTCTAACCTCCCCCCACCCCAGGCCACGTGAAATAGGACAGAATTGCATACAAATGGCCAAGAGGTGCACAAGAAGGTGGCTGGAATCTCAGGGAAGGGTCCAGTGACCGACCCCACTCCTTCTCTAAGGGAATGGTCAACAGACCTGATGGCAGTGTACTCTCCCTAGCAGGAACACCTGATCTCAGAATGGAGCCGGACCTCTCCTGCTCAGAGGGCTGCCCCCAGCAGTTCCGGTGATGCCCCCCACACAGTAGCTGGACACTGTGGATCTCACTTTCACTGACTGAACAGACTTAGGGAGGGGAGAGCCATCCACTGCTGTTCTGGGCCCTAAAGGCCATCTTAGTGGGCAAGGAGTCACTTCTTTAAGAATTCCATGACCGGGCTGGAGAGATGGCTCAGTGGTTAAGAGCATTGCCTGCTCTTCCAAAGGTCCTGAGTTCAATTCCCAGCAACCACATGGTGGCTCACAACCATCTGTAAAGAGGTCTGGCGCCCTCTTCTGGCCTTCAGGCATATTCAGACAGAATATTGTATACATAATAAATAAATTAAAAAAAAAAAAAGAATTCCATGACCAAAACCAACTAGGGGAGGAAGGGGTCTAATTGGCTTCCACTTTCAGACCACAGTCCTTCATTTAGGGAAATCAAGGCAGGAACTGAAGCACAAACCATGGGACTTTTCTTCTAGCTTGTTATTTGGCTTGTGGTCAGCTTTTTATACAGCTCGGTTCCACCTTGGGACTGGCACCTTCTAGGCCAATCAGCAATCAAGAAAATGCTCCACAGACATGGTCCCGGGCCAATTTGAAGGAGCAAGTCTTCATTTGAAGTCCCTCCTCCCCAGGTGTGCCGGGTTGGCCGCCACACTCTCTCTCGTCCACGTTCCTCACTAAGGCAGGGTCTCTCAGTCAAACCCAGAGCACGTAGACAGGCTAGTTTTGTTAGCAAGTGTACTGAGGGATCCTGCATCTGCCCCAGGGGTTAGATTTACAGGAGAAACAACACACACACACACACACACACACACACACAATTTACATGAATTCTGGGGATCTGACTTCAGGTGTTAACAACTGGGCTACAGTCCACATTTGCTCTTTAAAGATTCTAAAGAAGCGGTGGCACAGGCCTTTAATCCCAGCACTGGGGAGGCAGAGGCAGGCTCTCTGAGAGTTTGAGGCCAGCCTGATCTACAGAGCAAGTTCCAGGACAGCCAGGGGACTCGACAGTGGTAGAGCTGTGGCTGCCCCACAAGGGGGCAGTGGGAACAAGCTGAAGGATCATGACCGGCATTTTTTGTAAAAAGACCAGAGATTAAGATAAAAAAAAAAATTCCTCAGAGCTAGATGTGATGTCATTCCTGTATTTGCAACACTTAGGAAGCTGAGACAGGAGGATTGCCATGAATCTGAGACCAGCCTGAGCTATACAGTGAGTTCCAGGCCAGACTGGGCTACAAAGTGGTATCCGGTCTCAGAACAAACTAAAGCAATATCTCAGTCTCTTGTGGTGAGCTGGGCGTGGAGACACTTGCCTGTAATCTCAGCACCTAGAAGGCAAAGGGAGGAGGAGCGGGAGTTCAGAGCCAGCTCATTAAGGTAGAGTCAATCCTATAAGAATCATATGAGATATGAGACCCTGCCTAAAAAAGTGTGTGTGGGGGGGAGGACTTGGGGAAGGCTCAGTGTGCAAAAATGCTTGCAGTCGAGATTGGCAATCTGAGTTCAGTCCCCAAAACCTAAATGGCAGAAGAGAAGGCCTCCCACTCCAAATGGTCCTTTCCAATCCCCAAGCTCACACTGTGCCAATGTGTCTTCCCCCAGCGTTCAGACAACAGAAGCCAGCGGATCTCAGGGAGTTTGAGGCCAGTCTGGTCTACATTGCAAATTCCAGGCCAGCCAGGGCTGTATGGTGAGGAGTAAAAAATCCCTTCCCCTGAAAGACACAGAGGGCTCCAAAGAGCCTTGCATGAAGGAGAGACCTCTCAGGACATCAGAAACGTGTGTGTGTGCACACGTGTGTGTGTCTGTCATCCTGGCTTCACACGTCTGCAGACACAGAACTGTTTCTTTGGGATTTTACATGTAAAATGTTAGATTCGGCGGCAGGTAGCTCAGCTGCTAGAATGAAACCCTGGTCTAATCCTCAGCACTGCCTGAACCAGGCATGGTGTCAAGCCCCAAACTGGGTGTGGTAAGCACATGTGTGGTGACCAGCACTCATGAGGTGGAGGCAGGAGGGTCGTGTGTGTGCGTGTGTGTGTGTGTCTGGTGTGTCAGGCAATGGGGCAACACCCCTTGTTCCTAGTTAGGACTGTCTGCCTCCGTCTTCCAGGGTGACATACTGGGGCTAAGGCCCAGCCAGGTCCGGAGAGCAGCTGTGTAGGCTCCTGTAGCTCCTTCCAGGTTGCTTCCTCTGAGAGCTGATGTGGGCCAGCAGGTCCTGGAGGAGATGGGAGAGCACTGTAGGAGTAGCCCCAGCCAATCACCTTGCTTGTAGGGCGGGGTTGCCTGAGGATATTTTTTACTAATAAATATTGCTGGTGTGCTCTCCCCCCGCACTTCTACTTTCCTGTTCTCCGCTGGAACTACGGGTTCTGTGAGTCTTTCCCTAATTAAAGCTAAAAATGTTCTTATAATTTGTCTGCCTTCATTTATGCCGATACAGAGCACTGTATGTCCCAGTCCAGTCCTGTCACGGGGATGAGTATGGGAGGGGAGGGGATGGCTGGAAGTTGGCTCCTGTTGGGAGCTGTGAACCCCTCAGATCCTGAATTTCTGGTAAACAGCTTGCAGCTGCTCTGAGCACAGACTTTCAAGAGTTCCTTATGGCAGGGGAGTGGCTATCAGTTAAGGATCCCTATAGACGCTGCCCCTGGACACAATAAGGGGGGCATTCTGGCATCAAGGATGACCTGTATCTCTGTGTGTTTCAATCGCCAGCCCCTTGCCTGGTTCACGAACTGTATGGTAGCGCATAGGCTGCTGGGCCTGTCTCCAGATGCCTGGTGTCCTCACAGACAGGACAACCAGCCTCGCCCTGTATCTGGGTCACAGGGTAGAGTCTCTTGCCCCAATTCTAGCCCCACAATCAATAACTTTCCCCAAAGGAGCCACCTCAGCCAGCTTCCCCAAATACCCCCCTGAGTTCTCTGCACCCCACCTAGAGCTGACCCCCCTCAACACAGATGGCCTTTCTCACCAGCTTTGGACACTGTCATTTCTCACCTTTGTCCCATTTGTCCCTGCCTGGAAGCCCTGCTTCTGTCTGCCAAGCCCCAGGTACCCATTAAAGCCAAGCAAAGTATCACCCCCCCTCCCCCGGCAGGCACCCTGGGCTGCCCTAGGCATTCCAGGCAGGAGCTTGCTATTGTCTCCTTTCCTTCCTAGAGTTCTGGTCCTCATCTTCAGTGAGTTTGGCAGCTCTGCCTCCGCCTTCAAACTCAGTACTCTTGAGATAGGGTCCCTTGTTGTAGCACACAACGCCCATCTGCGCTCTATGCGCTACCATACAGTTCGCCAGCTTCGAGCAGGGGGCTGAAGGTTGAAACACTCAGACAGACAGAGACACGGACCTCTAAGTCACTGGTAAGCCCTTTATTCAAAAGCACCACGGAGGCTTATATACCCAACACAGTCAGGTGGGCCCACAGGTGAAAACCTTATCCTCTGATCCTCAAGGCCAAGGCAACACGCGCTCGTGAAGCAGAGCTGGTAAACAACTTTGACACAGTTTTCAGTAACTCAAATCAGAAGGAAAGTAAAGATCTCTAGCAGGGAAGAGCAGCTGGAGGCCAGAACTCCAAATGGTCCCAACACCTCGTATCCCAGGCTAGCCTCAGACTGACTGGCTTTGAGCTTCAGGCTCTGGCATGCTGGGACTACAGGCTTGTGCCACCCCCTCAGTTTATGTGGTACTAGGGATCAGACCCAGGCTTTGTGGGTGTGAGGCGGGTCATCCCCATTCCCTGGGGTTTGTTTTTTAGAAACGTGTAGCTCAGGCTGACTTCAAACTTACTAGGTAGCCAAGGATGTCCTGGAACGTTCTGCTCTCCCTGTCTCTGAAAGACCCTACAGACCCCCTCCTCAAAACCCGCAGCTAGCATGCTCCCGGGGGAACGTCCTGTTTGCTTTCGTAAGAACATCCCATGTGCTTGAGAGAGCAGGATGTCTATGAGACAGGAAGACTGCAAGGCAGGATGTCAATAAGATAGGACATCAACAAAGCAGGTTGACTGCAAAACAGGATATCTATAAGATAGGAACAGGATGACTGTTGCCAGACATCCATGCTGAGAGAGGAAACCATTCATGCCCCCCCCCGCCTCATTTTGATAACCACGCTTTTGCTTCTGTAAACTTGCTTTTTGCTCTTCCCTATAAAAAGCCCGCCCTCCAGTTGGCGCGCAAGTCTTCCGAGAGATCTTGCCGCCCACAGGTACCTGTGTCTACTCAATAAACCTCTTGCGATTTGCATCCGTGCCGTCTCGGCCTGTTCCTTGGCGTTGGGGAGGTCTCCTCCCGACAAAAGGTCCTTGTCGAGGGTCTTTCAGTCTCCACCGTCTGAGTGCAGGGAAAGACAGGTGGATCTCTGTGAGTTCGAGGCTAGCCTGGTCTGCAGAACGAGTTCCAGGACAGCCAAGGCTACACAGAGAAACCTGTCTCAAGAAAATCAAAAACAACCCCCCCAAAAAAAACCAAAATAAAAAAAAAAGATCTATTTTATGTGTATGAGTGCTTCACTTACATGTATGTCTGTGCACCACGTGTGTGCCTGGTGCCATCAGGAGTCAGAGAAGGTTATGTTACCCAGAACTGGAGTTACAGATGGTTGTGATTCACTTTGTGGGTGCTCAGAACCAAACCAGGTCTTCCGCAAGAGCAGCCAGTGCTCGTAACCTCTTAGTCACACCCCACAGGGTCACATTTTAAATGAGCTTTCACTCACAGTTTGAAATCTGTGTTTAGAAGCAGCTCATATGAGGCCCAAGGTCCCACCCACAGCCCTGCCCTGCTGGTTCAAAACCTTTCCTCCATCCCCTGCAGAGCCAGCAGCCCTTACCCACCTCCTCTGAGCAGGACGGGCTGTGACCATCGGGCCCACGCCGGCTGGCTACCACCCCTACAGAGATCTTTTTCCCAGTACTGCTCAGGAACCTCCAGTCACCCAGGCCATGACCTTCACCCAGGCCTTAGCCACCACGCTGGCACTGCTCGCCGGGGTCCTGCCACACAGCCTCAGTGAAACTTCAGATCATAAAAAGGTGAGCAGTGTCCCCGACTTCTGTGATCAAAGGGTGGGGACCGAGGACTGCAGAGGAGGTGTGAGGGGACCCCAGGAGCACTTCACAAGGCTGTTCAAGTTCCAGTCACCTCCCTGGACCGAGAGAGCAGTACCCCTGGCCCAGGCCCCATCGCTTTCACACCACTGGGTCTACCACATTCTAACCCCTCCATACTGCTGGTTCTGGGTCCTCTTCCGCCCTCCTCCAGGGCCCAGGGCTCCTCTAGATGCAGTCTTTCTCCCTCCTCTTTCTCCCCTTGATTTTTAATTCTGAAAGTTCCTTCCTTCCTTCCTTCCTTCCATCCCTCCTTCTCTCCCTCCCTCATTCCTTCATTTTGTACATGAAGACCAGAAATAACTCAGGGAAGTCCATTCTCTCCTCCCATCTTTACTCCCTTGCCCATCCCAGGCTGCCCGTCATCCCGGCTGCCCGTCATCCCAGGCTGCCCGTCATCCCAGGCTGCCCATCTCCCACAGCAAGCCCCTTCGTTGGCTGAGCCATCTTGCTCCAGTCCAGTTCCACTAGCTGTTCAGACTGTGGTCTGGGACTATTTCCCATTGTCATTGTTTAGAAGCCATGGAGGTGAGAGGGCAGGAATTGGGATGAAGAAGGAACTGGCTGAGCCCCAGAGCCTGATTCTTTTGCTCAGTCAAACTCTGTTTGGGGAAGAGGGTACATTGTGGGGAGGTGTCTGAGGTGGCTTCTCTCCCTGGACCCCTGAGTTCTTAGGCAGTGCCAGGATCTCCTCTATCCCTTCATAGACAGGAGCTGGTGACCAAAGCTGTCTCTGTAGGCCAACGGAGACAGGTGCGTCCACCATACCCACTGCCTCAGTGACTGCTGCCTCATAGACCTGGAAAAAAGCGGGGCCTTCTGCACCTCCAAGTCTCGTATGGGCATGGCGTGCTTACCCCAGGTGAGACACCAGCGAGCGGGGAAGGGGGGGACAAAAACACATCTGTGCTCCCACCTCCTGGGATACCCTTCCCCCACTACCCACTCCTCCTGCAGTAGCCCAGGCTGCCTCACTCAGCTGGAGAGCTTGCAAGGGAAGCCTCACAGCCTGCCTGGTGACTGCGCATAGTAGATGCTCAACAAATGTTTGCTGAGTGAGAATCTTTTTCTTAACTTTTCTGGTGTAAGTGGGATGGAGGAGACACCTAGCCTTTTTTAGTGCCCATCTCCCTGTCACCATGACCTGGTCACTTGGGAGAGCTGCAGGGCTAGCTGAGACCTCAGCTTTCCGGTGGGATTCTCACTTACATCCTGGTTTCCCTAGCCTGGGCCCTCTCTGACCTTTTGTTTCCTTACCCATTAAGTGGGACTAATGTGTCTACCTCACAAAGCGACTGGGACATTCACAGGGCTCACTCAAGCAGGCTGCTGTCAACTGGAAGACACAAAGGCACAGAATGTCTTGTTCCTACTCACTGGCCATGGGCCCAAACTCTCATAGGGAAGATGGACCCAGCCCCCATATTCCTGCCTGACCCACTACCAGTGTCTAAAGGAAGCAGCCACGGACCCCACTGTGGCCTGGAGAATCTCTTTGTTAGAGGGCACTGGGTACATTGTCTCGCCCACTATAATATTATGAAAAAGTAATATAATAGATGAAAAAGTCACTCCCCCGATCGGCTTTCCGTTTCTGTTATACACAAACACCAGGACCAAAAGCAACTCGGAGAGGAAAGGGTTCGTTACAGCTTCTACTTCCAGGTCACAGCCCATCACTGAGGGATGGCAGGCAGGAGCTGAAGTAGAGACCATGAAGAAATGCTAATTAGTGTCTCACTCCCAGGCTCAGCTTAGCTTTTTATACCAGGTCCACCTGCCTAGGGATGGTGCTGCCCACAGTGGGCTGGGCCCTGCCGTATCAACGACAATCTGGGGGAGGCAATTCCTGAATTGAGGTCCCCTCTTCCTAGGTGACTGTAGATTATGTTATCAGGAAAGCCCATCGTGGGCAGGGGAACCCAGTTTGGGGGGAGCTGGGGGTGGAGAAGTGGGGGCTGGAGACGTGTCTCATCAGTGTGGAGCACTTCTGAGAGAGGACAAGGTTCCTGTCGCAGCACTCACGTGGTGGCTCACAGCATCTGTAACCCCAGTTCCAGGCGGTCTAACAGGCATGCAGGCATGTGCATACATGCAGGCGTGTGCATACCTGCAGGCATGTAAGCACATAAAATAAATCTTGAAAGAGAAACCAGGCCAGCTGCTGTTGACCCCCTGGACAGAGGAGGGGACCAAGGAGCCCAGACTGGGCTCAGTCATCTGACATGGAGCCTCAGGTTGGGCGTCCACACCGCTGCTTACACTTGCCTGGCTCCCCAAGAAGTATAATCCCCTTACCTCACATCTTCCCTCTCCCACAGACTAAGGGGGCCCTGAACATCATGTGTCCCTGCCGAGTGGGCTTGAGCTGCCACTCCAAGGACCCTATGTGCCCCCGCCGGTGCCAGATGATCTAGAGGAGGACACAGGCCGCTCATGGTCACTGCTGCTACACCCTTTCCCGGTGTCCCTCTCCCCAGGAGTCCCCATCCTGCCCCTCAGCTCCAAGCATTAAAGTCGCTTTCTGGCTCTGGTCTCTGTCCTTTGTGGGAAAGTCAAAAGGGGAGACTGAGGCAGGGAGAACTTCTCTGTGGCTTTGTTTGCCTAACACCTTGGTGGGGAGGGGGCTGGGAGGGATGGAGGGATGGAGAGCTTCATGGGAAGGGACAGGGCTGAGAGATGAGACTGGGGTGTGTGATGGGGAGGGACAGAGTGGGGGACTATTTGAGGAGGGAAAGAGGGTGAAGGTGGAAGGGAGTCGTGTCTGTTCAAACGTATGGGGTGGGGGCTTGGAGGGATGGCTCAGAGGTTAAGAGCACTGGTTGCTCTTTCAGAGGTCCTGAGGTGATAGTCACATGACCCGCCCCTCACAGCAATTGCCTGAACTGCAAGCCAGAGCAGCTGAACTCCTGGAGAGTTCCGACGCTCACCTGGGAGGACAGTCTGGGACCACACGCGCCCATGATTTGCTCCTTTGGCCTGTCTCTTCGGATAGCCCAGGACCTGTGACCTCTCCTCCCGGCCTGTGGTCACATGGTCATGACGTGGGGGGGGGGCAAGCCTTTAGCTGCACCTTCCAACCACTTCTGGACCACCGTGCCACGCAACAACAGTTGACTTTGACCGTATCTCCCCTGCTGGAGGGGGAGACCCTCCTGCAGCTGTCTGGGAGGGCAGGCAGCCTCCGGGGGGTTGGCAGGAGAAAGTGGGAAGTGGCACAACAGGGAACATTGGGCCCCCGGATGTCTAGGAGAAACAAAGGCTCTGATCCTGGGTTTGGGCTATGGCTGTCAGAGACTGGGGTGCTCAGCCGCTGACCTGAGCTCAGAGCGCTCGACATACTTTATTGAGGACATACTAGATACTTTTCTCAAGTGTCCAGGACAGGACTGGGGTGAGAGAGCAGACCTCGCCACAGAGCTCCTGTTAAGTATAATCCACAGCTGAAGTTGGAGGAACAGGGTTTCAGGCAGAGGGAATGTTGGCTGCGAAGTCAAGGCAGAGCCAGAGGAGGAGGCACTGTGAAGAGGGGCCAGGGAAGTAAGAGGAAGCGAGTGAACAGAAGAGCAGAAGACCCTGCCCTCCTGCAGCTGGAATCTGAAGGAGACAGATTCAAAAAGGGAGAAAAGATAAAGATAATTCCAGAGAGGTGGTGCTGCTGTAAGCACAGGAAAACAGGATGGTCCCCCATGGCTTTGATCCTCCCTCCATGGGTGGGGTCCTCCATGGCTTTGATCCTCCCTCCATGGTTGGGGTCCTCCCTCCATGGGTGGGTGCAGCGCACAGCGTCTCTGCGCTACCACACAGTTCATGAGCTTCAGGCAAGGGGCTGGAGGTTGAAACACACAGAGACACGGACCTCTAGTCACTGGTAAGAAGCCCCTTATTCAATAGCACCATGGAGGTTTATATACCCAACAGTCAGGTGGGCCAATAGGTGAAAACCTTATCCTCTGATCCTCAAGGCCAAGGCAACACGTGCTCGTGAAGCAGAGCTGGTAAACAACTTTGACACAGCTTTCAGTAACTCAGATCAGAAGGAGAGTAAAGATCTCTAGCAGGGAAGAGCAGCTGGAGGCCAGGACTCCAAATGGTCCCAACAGCTGGGGTCCTCCATGACTGGGGTCCTCCATGGCTGGGGTCCTGCTTAGCTGGGGTGCAGAGTCTTCCTCCTGAGGCAGGAGGGGGATCAGAGCAGGGCGCTCTGAGTAGGGTGCTAGAGGCCCAAGGCAGTTCTGAGGTAGGGGAATGGAATCATGGGAGTTGACAGGCTTTCTCTGGATGTTCTGGAAGAGTGGACAGGAAGGACAAGGCGTGAGGAGATGGGGCAGTGAGGCAGTGGGAAGGCAGGAAGAGGCGTAGCCAGTGTGACCCTCACTCCGCTGTCCTCGCAGGGCTTACACCTGCCAGAGGGCCAACCAGATGGCTCAGCAGCTAAAAGTGCTCGTCACACAAGCCTGATGACCTGGGTTCGATCCTCAGACCCCACAGAGGATGGAGACAACTGATTCCACAAAGTTGTCTTTTGACTACACATACAAATAATAAAATGCATTCATTGAAAACACCCTTCAATAGGTACAAGAATCCATGACATCCACTGTCCACATCCGGTCAATGTTACATGTAGCACAGTGTGTAGACCAGGAATTCACACAGTGCCCGCTCCACCAGGACGGCCTATAGAGTCACCCCGACACCATCAAGGCTTGCTTCAAGGTCACCCTGGGCTACATCGTAGAACCTTGTCTCAACAACAACACAACAACAGGCCCCAACAACAGGCCCCATCCTCTGCTCAGCTTTGTGTCAGCGACAGGCTCCCCTCACACAGGTCTTCCTGTCTGTCACCTCTCCCAGCTGCATCCCTGCCACGGCTGTGGTCCAGAGCCACGTGGGCCATTCGCATTTGTAGGAGCTGAAATCAACACACCTGGAAGTGCATCGGCTTGGTTTCAACAGCTGTGTTTCAATTTCTGGGAGTTATTTCTGAGCAGTCCTGGTAGTACAGGCTTGTCAGGAGGATTACAAGTTCAAGGGCAGCAATCAGAAAAAAAAAATAGGAAGAAAGGGCATTTGTCAATCGTGGGCAAGACCCTGGGTTAATTCCTGGAGAAACAAGGGAGGGGAAGAAGCAAAGAATGGGGGGGGGGTGGAGGCAAGAGTAGAGCCAGCCTGGAAGAAAGCAAGGACGGGAGGAGGCAAGGGGGAGAGGAGGGCAGAGGAGAGAGGAAGAGGCAAGTAGGGGACAAGGAGAGGGGAGGAGGAGGAGGCAAGGAGAAGGGATGGGGGAGGAGGCCAGGGAGTGGGAGAGGGCCCACCTTGGCTGTAGAAAACTCCACTGTGGGGCTGGAGAGATGGTTCAGAGGTTAAGAGCACTGACTGCTCTTCCAGAGGTCCTGAGTTCAATTCCCAGCAACTACATGGTGGCTCCTCACAGCCATCTATGGTGAGATCTGGTGCCCTCTTCTGGCAAGCATACATGGAAGGAATGTTGTATACATAATAAATAAATCTTAAAAAAAAAAAAAAACTCCACTGTGTGGTTGTCGGGATGCCAGCTTCGGGGAGTGGCACACCATGGCACTATGGCCTATCTTTCCACCGTATTCACAGAGCCTGGCACACAGCAGATGACCAATGGGATTATGTTAGGATTCCCTAGAGCTGGGACCTGAACCCTGGGCCTCTTGAAGAGCAGCCATCACATTTAACAACTGAATCATCTCTCCATCCTGGGAACAATGCTTTGCTTTTCTTATTTGTTTGTTTTTCGAGACAGGGTTTTGCTATGTAGCTCTGGCTGTCCTGGAACTAGCTCTTGTAGACCAGGCTGGCCTTGAACTCACAGAGACCCTCCTGCATCTGCCTCTGAGTGCTGGGATTACAAGCATGTCGTTCCATGCTAAGCACTTACGTATAATATGGTGGGAGAGGGACATACATATGTGTGGAGGTCAGAGGGCAACTTGAGAGAGTCCTCGCCTTCCAAATGTGGGTCCTGGGGATCGAACTCAGGACATTGGGCTTTGCAGCAAGCACCTACTGAGCCGTCTTGCCAGCCCGGGACATGTTTGTGTGGATTTCAGAGCAGGTGACTGCTGACTTCCAGGCTTGGTAGGAGAAAGGATTACTTACTTAAAAGCCACAGTGTCGCCAGGCGGTGGTGGCACACGCCTTTAATCCCAGCACTTGGGAGGCAGAGGCAGGCGGATCTCTGTGAGTTCGAGACCAGCCTGGTCTACAAGAGCTAGTTCCAGGACAGGCTCCAAAACCACAGAGAAACCCTGTCTCGAAAAAAAAAAATACAAAAAAAAAAATAAAAGCCACAGTGTCTATCACCCCTCTCCTTCCGTGGAGCCCAACACCAAAGGTACTTTGCTCATATCCTAAAGATCCTCAAACACCATGGGCGCTGCGGTCAGTCTAGATACCCAGCAAAGCATGACTGCGGCTCTCTTCCAAGGCTTGGATGGCACTTGCCTCTGCACTCTACCTGTCTCCACAGAAGAGGCAATAAAAACTCTTTGTGTTGGGGGTCTCCTTTCCCTTTCTTGATAGTGGAACTCCAGTGTTACTTGAGCAGCAGCAAACCCAGCTCTGGGAGGGGAATCACAAATTGTCAATCATGGCCATCCAGACTCCCTTGCAGCTAGAGTTTGGTCAACCATGGCTGTCCAGTCTCCCTTGCAGCTAGAGCTGGTCTGACCCAGTTGTGGTCATTGTGCTATGAAGAGTCTGCCTAGAACAGTGGCTCTCAGCCTTCCCAGTGCTGCAACCCTTTAACACAGTTCCTCAGGTTGTGGTGACCCCCCCCACCATAAGATTATTTTCATTGCTGTTCATAACTGTGATTTTGCTGTTATGAATTATAATATAAATATCTGATATGCAGAACATTTGATGTGCAACCCTGTGAAAAGGTCATTTGACCCCCAAAGGTGCCACAACCCACAGGTTGAGAATTGCTGGCCTAGAGGTCTTAGCAAAGACAAGGAAGGGAAGGCAGCAAGGAGAGCCGTCTCTCCCCATCCCCCTACTCCTCTGCTTATGGTGAAAGGGTGTGGTGCTAGGAGTAGTTGCTTATGCACTGGACTTGTGCCAGCACTTCCTGTCTCCCGACTGCGGGGCTGGCGAGACTGAAGACACACCATTTTGTGAAGCCAAAATGTCATGGGGCTTTGCAGCTGAACGTGGTCTGAAGGCAGAAGTCACGGGTTCTAGAGGCTTCGCTGACCCAGAACTGCAAACTGTGGGACTGGGGGAGTGCCTGACTCCCTGTTTGTGAATCTCCCCTCCACCCTGTAGTCTCCCAACTCAGGGGTCAGAAGCTTCTCCTTGGGCCTTGCTGTGTCTTAATTAACTCATGGGGTTTTTAAATTACATTTATTTATCCATTTATTCATGTGTAGTGGTG